CATCATCTTTTTTTCCCACCCCATTCTTACTTTTTTTCTTTCCTTGGGATGCTTTTGTTGTATAACAACAACATGAAAGATCTGGCCATTTCCGGCCAGAAGGAGATAACTCTCTCTGTTGTGTCAGTAGAGGGTAAAGCTATGTGCCTGGAAGCAAGAAACAAAAGGCACTTAGTGAAATAACCACTAGGGAAATATTTTTTTTCTGATTGGTTGACTAAAATTTATTTAAACCTTGGTTTATATTAGCATAAGAATACATTAGTAAGCAATAATTAAAGTCATATTTTAATAGGGAAATGCTTAGAAAAGTAAATGTTCATAAAACCCACAAACTTTAAAAACATAAAATCATTCCTACAGATGATGACACTTTGACATCTATAACCAAAAAGTGATTGATAGCAACATTAATTATACTATAGAAATGTCTTATGGGTCATTCAATAACTGAGTATTAATTTTTATTTTAATGTTGAATTTCAGTTGTATTCATTATAGGCCAAGAAGTCTAGACATTTCCCCCCAAAAAGCTTGACCTTCCTATCAGAGGTTGAAAAACAAAAAAGGCATGGTACACTTTTAAATCAAATGTCATTTTTAATGGTGTTTCATGTACAGTTAACAAGTTAGCCAATTATACTTGCTTCCTTGGGGCACTATAAAATTGGATATGGCGTATGCTGTGTATCATGCTACTTTCTAGGGGAAGTTTTTCCTGGGGACTTCCCAAGAAGAAGCCTTGTTTTGTCTCCCTTTCTCATAGGACCCCTTGAAATCAACCCTGGTATAGCTTCACAAGGGGCAGACATCTGGCTTGAGACCCTGGCTTTTCTTTGTCCTGGCTTCTCCAGTGATCCATAGCATCCCCAGCTCGAAGAACTCCTTCTTTGTTCAGCTCTTTGGAAATTGTGTGATGATGTATTCCTTAAAGGGGAGGTCAGAGTGAGTGCTGACATCCCAAACAGCAAAGCAGACTACTCAGCTCCGAGCAGTCTTTATTCTGCCACTGCAGTCCCTCTGTCCTGCTTTGGACTCCAATGTTCCCCTCCTAGGGCTACCCTTTCTTCCTCAAGCTCTCAGAGACCTCCACTCTTTCTTCTCAGGTACAGTCAGTCATGCTCCCAACAAGACTGTTGCAGAACTATAGTCTTAACCTGGGGACTAATGCTCACTCAAAGAAATGTAACATAATATTATGGGGAACAAATTGGAATAGTCCCTGCAACCTGCTGCAAGGCTCAGACTGTCATCTCAAGGCTGTAGACATTTTACTAGTGAAACTACTTACCAAAGCTATTTACAACAAAGTGTGCTCACACTGAACCCATAAAAAATGTGCCCCATCAGAACTGCAGCTTAGTACTCAGCTCATTTAGCTTCTTTGGTCCAAGTATTTTTGTTTTGAAAAAAGCTGATCACCTAAGCTCTCTATTTAAATTGGAAAGGTAATCCTGTGATCAGTGATAATGCCCCCCTCCCCTTCAATGATTAGGATTCTTTCCTATCTCTTATCCATTATAGGCCTGGTATCTTTCCCTCCCTCTCTTTATCATTACCTGTATAGAATCAAAGAATTGTAGAACCAGAAGAGACCTGTAAGATCATCAAGTCTGGTTCCCTGCCATGGACAGACAAGCTCAACAAGGTGTCTGTCCAGCCTCCTCTTGAACATCTCCAAGGATGGTGACTGCACCACCCCTGCTGGCATGAATGATGCATGCCTCCTGAGGCTGGGGGGGAGGGGGTAGGGCATGGCAACTGCCTGCAGGTGGCAGCAGCAGTGATGTCGGCGGCAGGGGCATGTCAGCAGTCAGCGGGGATCTCCTGCAGGTGGCCACAGTGGTGCCAGCGGCAATGGTGGGCCAAGCAGGGACCTTCTGCAGGTGGCTGCAGTGATGGTGGTGAAGATAGGCCAAGCGAGGACCGTTCACAAGCTGCCACAGTGGTGTCAGTGGCAAGGGCAGGGGGTGGTGAGTGGTGACCACCCACAGGTGGCGATGCAGGCATTGGCCAATTTTAGTGGGGCATGTGCCCCTCCATGCCCCCATGCGTCGTCTATGCCTGCTGGGAGTGTGTTCCAGATTCGGGCAACCCTTACAGAGAAAAAGTTATTTCTTATATCTAGCTTGAATTTACCTTCTATAAGCTTATATCCATTGGTCCTCATCCTCCCTTGAGGTGCCTTCCTGAAAAGTTGCTCATTTAGATCTTGGTGATCACCCCGATGTACTTGTAAGTGGCTATCAAATCACCTCCCAGCCTTCTCTTACTCAAACTGAACAGGCCCAGTTCCTGGAGCATCTCCTCATAGGGCCTATCTTTCATGGTCTTGACCATGCAGGTGGCCCTTCTTTGTAACCTTTCAAGGTTATCTATGTTCTTTTGGACGTGCGGTGCCCAGAACTGGTCACAGTACTCCAGCAGAGGCCTCACCAGTGCCGAATAGAGAGGGAAGAGTATCTCCCTGAATCTATTGGCCACACATTGGCTGATGCATGCCAGAGTACTATTTGCCTTTCTGAGAACCTCATTGCACTGTTGGTCCATATTCACCTTTCCGCCGATTGTAACCCCTATGTCTTGTTCAGATGCTGTGCCAGCCAGTGGATCACTACCCATCGTGTAGTTGTGGTAAGGGTTCTTCCTACCCAGATGAAAGACTTTGCACTTATCCCTGTTAAATCTCATCTGATTCCATTCCACCCATGAGTCCAGTCTGTCAAGGTCGTCTGGATCCTACACCTATCCTCCAGTGTGCCTGTGTCTCCTCACAATTTGGTATCATTCCCAAACTTAAGCACTGAGCTTTTTACCCCCTCAATTAAGTCATTAATGAATATCTTAAAGAACACCAGTCCAAGCACCAATCCTTAGGGAACACCACTGGAAATGGCCCTCCAGGATGAGGACCTCCCATTGTGGTGAGGTGGGAATCCCTGGCTAGCCACAGCTAGCTCCCCACCTGCCTCTGGGCACGCCACCCCCCTGTCTTGCCCACCACGTCTTGTTGGTAATTAATAAAAGTTGTTAATTAAGGCAGGAGGCTGCCCATTGTTGCACCCTGATATTAGGGGGTATCTGCAGTTCACTGCAGCCCAAGCCTTGCAGATGGCATCTCAGGTAGTTAGCTAAACTGGTACCTTTGCCCATTAGTTGTGGCCCCCAACTGTGGGGACCTGTAGCTTCCATAAGCCCTGGCCCCATCTCAGGCCCAGTCGGGACTCTGAGCTTCTGTGCTCATCATGGGTGTCCCTTGCGGTGGGCCCCTGGCCCTTTTGACCCTCAGGTCCTGGCCCTAGCATTGACCAGTCAAGTCCCTCAGCAGGGTCTTCACCTCCTGCCTGCACTTTTTGGAGCAGAGTTCCTCATTCCTGGCTCAGGTGCTCCTGGGAGCGTGCCTGGCCCTGCGGGTTCTCTCCCCAACTGGCTCAGGTGCTTCCAGAAGCTTACCTGGCCTCTACTCTTCCCTTGATGTTACCCTTTGCACACACCATGACTGGTACTCCAGGGTCTCATGAGGGCTACCACTCCCCCCTGGAGCAGCAGGTCATTGTGCTTGGCCACTGATGTTGCTCTCTCCCCACCAGAAGGTGAGGGATGGGGTTAAGGCGCCCATACTCACCTTTCACTGGGGTGATCACTGGCCTGGTATTTCCTGGGGGCTCCCGTGCCACTGAGAGCCCCAGTAGGCAACCCACTCCCAGTAGGGTGCAGTTTTAGGTCATGCCCAGGATGAGGAGCCTCCTACAACTCCTGCCCTTACCTCCAGGATGATACCAGTGGCCTTCCAGCCAGGCAATGTTACTGCCTCCCCTGCCAGCAGGGAAATGATCTGATTAGAAAGGCAGCTGGGGATCTAAAATGGCTGCAGCAATCAGGCACCTGCTGGCAGCTTGGCTCAGGCCCTTAAAGTGGCAGGCACCTACAGTGTCCTGCCATACCTATCAATTACCACCCCCTGGGAGCAGCTTCTAAGCCACTTTATGTTCTTGTTTATGTTCTTCTTCAACTAGCATAACTGTCTACCATTTGGTCTCCTTAACAGATGCATTGATACTAATATTCCATATAAAATGTAATTATTGGGCATGTCTACGTGAGACACACTAATGCACATTAGCATAATTTAATGGACATCATCAGCATGTGACTACACATATGTGTCCTTAATGCGCATTAAAAGTGACAAAATCAGGCTAATCACACCTAAATTAGATATCTGCAAATTTAGGCGCAATTAGTTAAACCGTATTAACGCATGTGTAGATGTGACCTGGCACTAACTTTAGTACTGGGTCTGTCCAGACAGTAGAGGCATGTGACAGGGTTGCAGGGACTTGTCACTAACTTAGCTCTTCAGTAGACATCTGTCAAAAATCACTTAATGTTCATTAGCTTAAGGCGCATTAAATTTAGTCATGCTTACATGCATGTGTAGATGTGCCCTTAAATCCATTTTCCTATGCCTCACTGAGACCCGTTGATCACCTTCTCTGAAACCATCTTTTGGCATCCCATGTTTCACTGAATTGAGTTCAAGCTTCCCATCCTCACAAGAAAAATCTCTAAATAGAGAAGACTTTTCCAGACTTTTTCATTTGTCTTCCTTTTTGCCCCCTGTCTCTTCTGTTTTACTACTAGAATTGGTCCAATAGATTTTGATGGAACCAACTAGAAAATGTGATTCCATTATAATTTAAAACCTTTGTGAAGCAGGATAAAAATATTTAAAAACCTAATTTAGAAGAAAATAGAAAATATGTGCAAAATGACTAAAGAAAAATTGTGTCAATTTTTTCACTTAACATTTTGATTGATCTGAAATTATTTTTGCTCAAAAGTTTTCTTTCACAAAGAACTTTAAAATTAGAATTGGAATTAGAATAAAACAAATTTTAACAACCTTTAAATCATTAATGAAACAAAATTTCCGATTCCACACAACTCTCCTTACTAATGATGTCAGCGCTATCCACATATTTGTTCTTTTTTCACAGAAACATCTTGGTGTCTTATATGCACTGCTGTGTCCCTTTAATTTTTCAAAGGATTGGAAATTCTGGATGGAGCTTAAAAGATGAAATTCAGTGCTGACAGATGCAGAAATACAAATACAAAATGGGTAACAACTGGCTGAACAGAAAGATGTAGGAGTCTTGGTGGATCAGAGACTCAATGTGCAACTACAGTGTGGCACAGACACACCAAAACTGAATGCAATTTTGGGATGCACCAATAGGAGCATTATTGCAAGACACAGGAGGTGAGAACACCTCTTACTAGGGGCTGGCAGTGTTGGATTCAGGAGGGTGCACCAGTGGGGTCACAGGATGCTTTTGCCATTGCTGCTGCTCTCCCCAGGTGATCTAGACATATAGCAGCTCCAGGGCTGCTTTTGCCTTGCTCCATCCATGGGCAGCAGCTTTGCAGGGTGCCAGGCTCAGGTATGGATGGAGCCCTGAGCTGGTTCTACCACTCTGCTACTGTGAGCTGCAATGAACAGCTGCATAGAGTGACAAACTCTGATTGGGACAATGGAGGCAGCACACAGAATCCTACTTCCAGAACCTGATTCTGCCCAGTGGGGGATGCCCATTGTGGGGAGGAAGGAGAACAAAGGTTAGGAGGCACTGGAAGGATGAACCAGTGCAGTGCTGCTGCTGTTCTCATCCAAGGCCAGTTCCCAGCACAGCTGCATTAGTAAGGAGAGTTGTGTGGAATTGGAGTGGGCAGGAGAAGCTCTGGGTCTGCCGTGTCTCTAGGCCATGGGAACAGTGGCAGTAGTATTGTTTGTGGGGGGAGGGTCACCCATCCCTTTGTGCGCCTGTTCCCTTCCCACATCTCTGGTGTGCTCCATGGCCCTGGGGCACTCCAGCCCCCATCCCTTCATGGTCTGAGGGCTGGTGTGCCACACCCTTCTTTAGTAAGGGTGGATTGGCATTGGTTATGCCTGTTATTGTGTGCAGTTTTAGGCTCCACAGTTTAAAAGGAAATGGAGAAGTTAGAGAGGGTCCAGAGTCAGCTGACAAAAATGATAATGGGATTAGAAGGTAGGCCATATGAGGAGAAGTAGAACTAAATGGGCATGTTCAGCTTGTGGAAAAGGTGATTAGGAAGGAACATGATAGCAAGCTTCAAGTGTTTGAAGGCCTTCACTAAACAAGAAGGAGAACACTTTCTTGCTGCAGAGAGCAGGACATGGACCAATGGCTTGAAGTTTCAGCAAATTAGGTTTAGATGGGATATCCACAAAAAATGTTTTCACACTTCTTGGGACTGGGCCTTTATATGAAAATGGGCTGGGGGTCTAAGACTCTTTTTTCCCTCTATCTGTAAGAAGCCAATTTAAAAGCTCAGAGGATTGTTATTTGGCATTTATTTACAGCATATATTTTCCCCAAAAGTATATTGATAGAAGCTATGTATTTCTGATGGTATCTTTGATCTTGCCATGCACCTCAAAGCTTATTTCATGTAGGACTGTGTCTCAGTATACACCTGTGTAGCACATAGCCCAATCAGCCCACAGTCCTGATTGGTTCTCTGAATGCTATTATATTATGCACATAAAATAATAAAAACATTTTAATGCTATATGCTGCCATCTCAATGAGTTCTTGCTAAATGGTAAATGCAGCAATTGCCTGACCTTTCAAGATCAGTGGCAGAATAGTATTATAAAGAAAATGACTTCATCTCTTCAAGCTTCAGTGCTAAAAAAGAACTTTACCATTTTTAGACAGGCACAAGTGATAAAAATACGCTTATTATGTTAATATAATCATTTTACAAAGTGTCGTGATGGAGTGAACTTATTTCATTATCTATGTACCTTTTACTGAACTATCATAAACAACATTACTAGTAGCTAAACCTCTCATGAGACTGAAAAAAAGCATTGTTCATCATAATAATTTGTGGGTGTACATTCCCTTTGGCATAACTTAACATAGCACTATGGTTTTCTTAAGGCTGATCATGAAACTAAAGTGATTGAATGAACAGAGAGTGATCCATGATTAACTGGGTGTCATTGATTGAGTGGGTTACCAGAATACAGTCATCAGTGAAAAGAAGCTTTCTGATGAGCAAATCTGCCACTCTTATGTGAGCACAGAAGCATTGCCGATTGAACAACTTTTCACTGGGGCAAAGCTGAATAAATACTCCTCTGTCATTGTCACAAATGCCTCTATCAATGCAGCTTAGAAAAGTCGTTAAGAAGTGTGGAAGCCAGCACATAACTGAGTTTATCTGAGTAAAGATAAAGGTGGAAAAGAATAGTGGTGACAGTATGATGTGTCTGATGCAGACTACCAAGTCAGGAAGAAGGTTTGGCTGAGACATCCTTCAAGAAGACAAGAAAATTATCTAAAAGTTATGAGATGTCACTAATAGTGGATTTTGACTTTCAAGGTATCTGCTGGAAGAATAATACAGGAAAATGTAAAATGTCAACTAAGACCCTAGCCTGTGTGGAAAACACCTGGAAATCACAAGCACAGAATGGGAGGTAACTGGCTGGGTGACAGCACTTCTGAAAATAATCTTCAGGTTTTCATGGATCACCCACTCAACTTGAGTCAGCCGTAAAAAAAAAGCATGTTTTCTTGGGCTGCATCAACAGGAGTATTGGGTGTAAGACACAGTAGGTGATAGAGGCACTCAGCTCTGTGTTTTTTGGCCCCACCTAGAGCATTGTGTGTAATTCTAAGACCCACATTTGAAGAATGATATAGAAGATACAACAAACTTACCAGCTGGGGGCAGCTGTGTCCAGCATGGTGAAGACTGCTGCCTGTTTAGTCTATGGTCAAATCTCTGAGGCGGTGCCAAATCCTTTCCAAATTGATTCGGAAACCTCCGAATTGATTCAGACCTTTTAATAGGTATGCCAATTTGATTCAGATTTGGAGATTCAGCCACCGAATTGGGCTGAATCTCCTCTGAATTGAATTGGCTACTGAAGCTTTGGACAGCCCTATTGCCTGAATGCAGGATTGTGAATATGGCGTTTTAGAAAAGTCCTCTGTGCTTCTTTGTTGCCAAGCCACACTGTTGTAGGACTTGAACATTGCAAGTGTAAGAGTTCATATTGTGTTTTCTGAATCACCTGCCTTATGACTGGATTATGGTATTAGAGCTGTGTGATGATTCAGTCCCCCTCACACATGCATGCAAGCCACTTGACACACTGGTAGAGAAGCTGAAGTGAAAAGACTTATGAAAACATGGATGCAAATGTTAAATTCCTTCTAATAGCATTGACCCCTTAGTGTTAATCCACCTACTCTGAATTTATTCTGGCAGTGAAAATTCATGCTATTGACGTTTGTTTAGCAGTAGCCTATTTGCCATATTTATGGTGGGGTTTATGGATTTTGATAGGGGACAGAAAAATAAATGCTACTCCAACATGCCCTGTTGGTATTGCTATCAGACTGCCTGAGCGCATCTAGGCAAGTGTATATGTGTGGTATGCAGTGCTGCAGACCCATCTGCGGGGCCACAAACTGTATGTGCCGCATATGCAGGTGTTCATTGCACCGCTAATTTGCATCAAGGTGGTTTTTTTCACACTGGGAGATACCAGTGTCAAAAAACCTGTGTCTGAAAAAAACTGGGCAGCACAAGTGGTGGCAATATGCACTGCCTGAAACTGGAGCCTGGCTGGCTGGAGCTACACTCTGGCTGCCGGCAAGTCTCTGCATGCCAGATCACTACCTCTGGAGCCTCAGGAGGCTCCGAAGACCCCAGGTAAGTGGCCCCAGACTCTCCTACCCCACCTGGGGCAACTTGCTACATGCCAGAGCATGCATGCATGTACATTCCTGGGGACAAGTCGCAACAGCACAACTATGTGTTGCTGCTATGTGTCCCTGGGGAAATGTACATGTGCACTTGCCTGGATGTGCCTCCTCAGACTATTTACTGACTAGATTTCCTTATCTATATTGCAGCTAATCTCTGTATATGAAAACCATTACTTTCTCTTCAGCACACTGCTATGCTTTGGAGCAGATGCTGCTGCTCCTGCAAAACTTTCTCAAGACAACTATTTTTCTGGAAGGCTAGGACTGGAATCAAGCATCTATCAAAGCAGATTTGAACAACAGCACAACAGAATCACTGTTGTATTCCTCTCTTCTAGCTTCCTGTTACCTACCACCTAAGGCATTGCTTTAAGCACTCATCTTGTTCCCAATGAAGTTGATTACAGAAACTCAATTCCTGCGGTGCATATAGGCATTAAGTGGGAATTTACAATATGATGAGAGTTTTATCCTACGCTAGATGGTTTCAACTAATCCTTTACAGTCTACTATTATTTTATTATAATAGCAAGAATATTTTCAATTGAACATCCTGCCTAATCTAAATTACTAGTTTCAGCTGGCTAAAGTTTTTCATTTCCCATCCCAGTGTGTTAGGTAACAGGATTCTATATTGCTTCTCTGGAGGGCTGCAAGGTCTGATCTGTTTCTGATTTTTTTCCCCCAGGTGTAATAGCGCTATGTATTTCCACAATTATAAAATATACAATTAAAAATGTCTATCCACAAATGGAATATTATAATTGTACCTCCCCCCCCAGACACACACTGAGTTGTATATGGTGTTTTTTGTGTGTGTGTTTAGATATGGGTGAGATGGCCCCCGTTGTTCTGGTCATGTGCTCAGCATATGGCAAGATAGGGTTTTATATATTTTCCTGTATCTGGGGAAAATATATAAAACCCTCTGACTTTATTGGTTAGAAGAAGTAGAGGATTCTTCAGGCAGATTGGTAGGGAGAAAGAGTAAAATATAGCCCTTCCTGATTGGACCAGGCTTGGGTGATGTCACACCAGGTATGTAAGAACTACTCACTAAGGTTCTCTCTCTTTATTTTTTCCTCCTGGGGTTGCTGAGAGCTGCAGAGCTACATTGGGAGCCAGAAAACCTGCTCTCCATGAGGGGGGGTCTCCCCCACCTTACCTTTGCTGGAGTGGCAAGCAAACCCTGTTTGAAGGGAAAGCCTCAGGTAGAGGAAGAAAAAGTCTGTTTTGGATTTTGAGACTCCTATTTCCTCCGTCTTCTTTTCTTCTTAAGTGGGTTAACAACATGGGAGTGTTGATCACTGGAGCAAACCGCCAAGGAATGGGTCTTGGCACTTACTGGCTACAGTGGTCTGGCCCCTTCTGTTTTTTAATTGTATTGTCTCAGCATGGGGTGTAGTTGAGCTTGCGTGTCCAGGCCACAGCGATAGACCTGTGCCTTTTTTTCTGCTTTTTCTACATCTATCTGTGCCTAGCTGCATGACTGAAACCCAGCTATATGTTCAGGCCTCAGTGCAGTATAGACCTGCCTATCTTTTGGTGCCCAGTTCAGGCCCAGTGAGACAGGCATGACCTCTCTTTTGAAGTTTTCCTTTTGCAGTTTCTGCCCAGCAGAGCTGGGATTGGGACTAGGAATTCAGGGGTGCAGTGTGCTGCCTGGAGTCACAGTTAACCCCTCAAGGCCAGCACCTGGAAGTGGGGATTGCCCTACAGCATTGTAGGGAGCAACAAGGGGGCTCTTTGCAACATAGAAGGATCTGTGCTATCTAGCAACTCCCTGCAACGCAGCAAAGACAAGAAGCTCAAAGGACTCTCCAGTGAAGCCTCCTTCTCCAGCTCATTGCTGAAGAGCAGGTATAAGGGTACAAGCTCCAGACACTGCCTTTTGGGTGAGTCCCAAGTTCCAGACTGCCTGGCATGGGTGAAGGCTCTCCAAGAGGGTGCAATTTATGAACAATGCCTTGTAGTTGCTAACGTTTTAAATTGTATTTAGTGTTTTCTTTGCCTTTGGTTTCTGTAATAAATTTATTCTTTGTGTTTACAGTGCTTTCAAGGAGGGTTTTGCTTAAGTGGGACACCCTAGTAATTTATTTAGTGTTTCCCATGTGGTTTGGGTGGGGGCTCAAGCCAAGGTAAAATATATTTAGACCCCAAAATTGAATGCAGCCCTTGTTGCTGCCAACCCGTGCCTGGCAGAAGGGTTACATAATAAACAGCTGATAAGCCTCAAATATATCTACCAGTAAACACTAATCTAAATGTCATCCTCCAAATCTCTCAAACCACCAAATGCCTGGAAACAAGACAGTCTTTCAGTATCTCTAAAATGTGAACAAACATAGGCTTTGGAAAATCAGTAAACTCTGTACAGACAGTCTTTGACTTGCAATGTTTTGAGTTACAATGTTTCACACTTACAATGTTTATAAATTGATATTGTTTCAAATTTCTGACATCAGTTTTGACTTTACAATGCTTGATCCAACCCAAAACCACACCAGCAAACAAATTTTCTGTGTCATCCATCTCCTTGGAGAATATCTGTCCAAACTTCCTTGGACACTTTCTTTAAGAAAGCAAACAAGACTCCAGAAAAACCTGCAGCCAAGACCCCTGAGAAAACTCTAGCCAAGGACCCTTCAAAAAGTCCAACCAAGAGCCCTTCAGAAAGTCCAGCAAAGTCACCACAAAAGTCCTTCCAAATCAATATGATTGCTATTTACAATATGAATAATGTAGCTATATTACTCATCTATAATTGTCTGAGTACAAAATTCTGGGTTATTTTTGGTGAAAATAGGGTATCCAGGAACCAATCCCTCATTTATAACATGATTTCCTATGAGAAAATCAGTTTCCAGTTACAGCGTTTCAACTTAAGACACGGTTTCCAAGAACCAATTGTGCCGTAAGTCTAAGGACTGCCTGTATTTTCTCACATGCTACATGACCCCAAATAAATCCCGTATCTTTGTCTGTGAAGGTAGAAAGAAGAAAAGACAGGTTATGGATGAATGCTGACTTCAGCAGCTGTGGATGTGAGAGGATTAACACTACAGTTCTGATCCTTAAGTGTGTACTCTACCCCGCTCCCTCCCTAAGGCTGGCAAAGGGAGAAGTACAGCAGCCATCTTGCAACAGCATCTCCATGCTTGCTCTTGTTCTAGAGAGGAAACATTATCTTCCCCACTTAAGTCACATGCCCCAACTCTGGGGGGCTGATTTTGGGTGAAAGGGTGCATATAGTATGCAAGTAA